AAACAATCCTGGGAACAAGCCTAAAACCCAAGACACTGGGATTTTTTTAATAGGCTGTGTTATGTAATAATTCTTACAAAACTTCTAATGGACACAAGTAGAAGTCTACTGAATTGTGTGGTTAAGGAATCTGCACATACTTCAAGGAAAAAATAACAACCCATAACCAAATGGGTAAGGATGAAACATCCTCAACCCTCCTCTTCTCAAAAAAAAAAAAGATTATTCAATCCCTTGGGTACCTTTTAATTTAAAAAGAGAAGCAGCCATCGTCTTTGCTATACATATTTGCACATAGTGTGTGGTTTGCCTCTCAGTGTACAAAGGTTTAATGAGTCATCAGAAGGAACACATGTTCTATATCTCGGGGGGGGGGGGGGGGGATGCATTACTCAAAATGGGAAAAGAGGTGGGCATATGAAGACAGGAAAGTAGCTATGGTTGTATAATACTGTATCCAATATTAGCATTCATACTAATTTAGGCAAATGCGTATTATCTCATGATAGATGAGTAATGTATAATACAAGTGTTTTCCCTATTCTCTCCTAGCCTAATTACATCAGGAACTTAGGACTTATCTTTGTATTATTCTGTAACTTATATAGGATATAATTCCAAGCTAGCATGTTCATGACCAATTAAAGCCAATTAGATATTTATTTATTTTACCCCTGGCTCCAATGGGGAAATGTGATCAGAGCATCTCACTGGTCAATAATGGAAAAGAACAGCCCTAGACAAGCTACAAAGGGGGAAAACATTGGGTGAGATGAGAGGGTTTTTTTTTTTGGGGGGGGGGGGGGAATAATATAAGCACCATTGCTTAATAATTAGTTATTCAAATGACCACTTGGGATGGAAACATAAAGTAGCCTGGTAGAATGGCTACTACAAGATGACCTTGTGGGAGAAGAGAAGCCAAAAGAAGAATGTATCAGATGTAAGTGCTCCACGTTTGCTTCCCTTCTCTGCTTTGTTGCAGCTTAATAGAATAGCTGCAACTAGGGCACAGTTGAGGAAAGTCAGAGACAGAAAGTTACTGAGCAGAGCCAGTGAAACAGTCATGCTTCCATTTTAAACCACAGGTCCTGGTCCTGATGGTATGGGGTTTGTGTTACATTTGGGGGATGGGGCTCAGCACCTTGGATAGCTCACTCCACATTGGGACTAAATCTCAGGGCCTATCCACACAGCCACATAACCCAGAATATCAAGGCAGATAAATCACAATATCTGTTTTGAACTAGATTATCTGAGTCCACACTGCCATATAATCCAGTTCAATGTGGATTTTATACAGCTGTGTAGAACAATGGTTCTCAACCTGAGGTCCCCAGATGTTTTTGGCCTACAACTCCCAGAAATCCCAGCCAGTTTACCAGCTGTTAGGATTTCTGGGAGTTGAAGGCCAAAAACATCTGGGGACCCCAGGTTGAGAACCACTGGTGTAGAAGGAGCCTTAGTGGATGATGATGATGATGATGATGATGATGATGATGATGATAATAATAATATCTTTATTTTTATACCCCACCTCCATCTCCGCAAAGGGACTCAGGTGGCTTACATGTGGTCAAGCCCGAACAGCATTATAAAATAAAATAGCACATTAAAATATATAATGGCAGCATGAAATAAAATAAAACAACAACATTATAACAGAGTATAAAAGCAAAACATCAACCAACAACCAGTGGGTTCTATGATAACAATCAGTTTCTGGGTACTAGGTAGGAGTGCTGGTGCAAGGACAATTGTGATGATAGGGCTGATGGATAAGGCACATTGATCACATGACAACAGTGGAACTAGAGATTAGAAGTCGAACCTGAATGTCCAGACAGCGACTTGAGTCTTCCAGTCCTTAACACAGAGTAATTGGGTTGAACTGGTTTAACCCTGCGTTAAGCAAACTCATGGGATGCTCATGAGTTTCAGAAAAAACTACAGTTTTGGATGAGTGTGGATATCAAGCCAACTCTCAAGGTGAATTGTTTGGATCAGGAATGAGTGTCTGAGCATCTCTCCTATTCCAGCAGCCATTTCTCATGTGCCTTGGAAGCAGCTTCGCTTCCTTTTAACAGCATTAATTTGCACACCACACAGGAAGATCTATGACAAATTTCACAAGTGTGGCTGTGGTGCGCTTTTATTTCAAAAAAGTAAAAAGAAAATCTTGTTTTGAATAAGACGACTATAAGACGACTGCTGGCGTATAAGACTAGTCCTGCATATAAGACGACTCCCATGCATAAGGCTACTCCAGCGTATAAGACAACTCCTGCGCATAAGACGACCCCTGACTTTTGATAAGATTTTCTTGGGTTAAAAAGTAGTCATATGCCAGAATATACGGTAAGTGAAGAACTTGTATAAGAATCCATTTTAGGACAGCAAAAAAAGGCCTAAATTTCAGAAGGCAACTTACTGTAGTTTTGTCTCTAAGAAACAAACAGCACAGATGTCTTGAAGGCCAGGAGATCTAGATTGCACATGTCTTCCAGCTTCCCAGGATTCCTTTCCAGGCTCTTCAGCTGTTCTGATCTGACAGGGATAGTGCCAACTCATCCCTTTGTCACATTTTTCTTCCTTTTCTCTGTAAGCTTTTTTTCAGGGAACTGCAACCTCTCCCAAATGTTCCTTCCAAATAACTTTTGTCATTTTGGGTCCCATCTATGCTGGTTAGTGTGTTGAACTGCAGTATGCGAGTCTATAAGGATGATGTAATGCAGTTTCGATCTACATTATATGGCAGTGTAGGTGAGGCCTTGAGTACTCCGACCACTTGATCAAGTGTCACACTTTTCATCTGTGAAACACTCCTTACCCTCCTTATTAGGGGTGCTCTGGTTTTATACGCTTTTGTGGTTTTAACTTGAATTGTTTTTAATATTAATGATTAATACTGTTTTAATTTTTGCATATTGTATTTTAAAAGTTATATTGTAATTCTTTTAATTGTGAGCCTCTTTGAGTCTCCGTACGGAGAGAGAAGGTGGGATATAAATGAGCATAATAATAATAATAATAATAATTACCCCACTAACTCAGGATGGGCCTGCCTCAGGGGAGTGTGTTTGCTCAACCAATATTTAATATTTTCACAAATGATCAGCCACTGCCAGAAGGGACAGACAGTTTGATCTATGCTGATGATCATGCCATCACTGCCCAAGCAGGGAGCTTTTAAATGGCTGAAGCTTTCGGTGCTCTTACTGCTTATTACAGGGAAAACCAGTTAATTCCTAATCCATCTAAAATGCAGACATGTGCTTTTCATCTTAAGAACAGACAAGCAATTTGCGCTCTGAGGATTACCTGGGAAGGAATCCCACGGGAGCATTGCAGCACACCCAAATACCTGAGAGTCACTCTAGACTGTGCTCTGATTTATAAGAAGCATTGCTTGACTATCAAGCAAAAAGTTGGTGCTAGAAATAATGTCATACAAAAGCTGATTGGCACAACCTGAGGATCACAACCAGACACATTGAAGACATCTACCTTTGTGCTTTGCTACTCTCCTGCTGAGTATGCATGTCCAATGTGGAATACATCTCACCACATTAAAACAGTGGATGTGGCTCTTAATGAGACATGCCACATTATCACAGGATGTCTACACTCAACACCATTGGAGAAATTACTCTGTTTAGCTGGTATTGCACCACCTGATATCCGCTGGGAAGTAGTAGCCAATAATGAAAGGACCAAGGCAATGACATCTCCGGCCCATCCTCTGTTTGGGTATCGGCCAGCACGCCAATGCCTTAAATCAGGGATCCTCAAACTTTTTAAACAGAGGGCCAGGTCACAGTCCCTCAAACTGTTGGAGGGCCAGATTATAATCTGAAAGAAAGAATTAATTCCTATGCACACTGCACATATCTTATTTATAGTGCAAAAAACACTTAAAACAATACAATAATTAAAATAAACATAAACGTATTAGTATTTCAATGAGAAGTGTGGGCCTGCTTTTGAATGATGAGATAGGATTGTTGTTGTTGCTGTGTGCTTTCAAGTCATTTCAGATTTAGGATGACCCTGAGCAAGAGCCGGGTAAATGAACTTGGAGGGCCGCATCCGGCCCCTGGGCCTTAGTTTGAGGACCCCTGCCTTAAATCAAGAAACAGGTTTTTTAAGATCTACAGAGATATTCACAGGAACACCTCAGCAAGCGAGAGTCCAAAAGTGGCAGGCTCAAACCCAGAACCTCAATCAGAGGCTGAGACTGGATGAGAGACTCCCTCCTAGGCACACAGAAGGCTGGGGGACTTGGAAGGTGCTGAACAGACAAAACAGCACCATAAGATGCAGAGCCAACTTTGAGAAATGGGGCCACAAAGTGGAGTCCACGACATGCGAGTGTGGAGAAGAGCAAACCACAGACCACCTATTCCAATGCAGCCTGAGCCCTGCCACATGCACAATGGAGGACCTCCTTATAGCAGCACCAGAAGCACACCAAGTGGCTAGCTGCTAGTCAAAGGACATTTAATAGAATGCCAAATTTTTAAACTTTGTGTTTTCTCAAATACATTGGTTTGCTCCTGATACGATAAATAAATAAACAAGTATGGGCCTCTGGTCTATTTGGAACTTAGAATATTGAGTTGAAAGAAAATCGCATTCTAAGCACCCCTGACAGATGGCCATCCACTCTCTGCTTAAAAGCCTCCAAAGGAGCCTCCACACACTCCGGGACAGAAAGTTCCACTGCTGAACTTCAACTCCCAGAAGCCCCACCCACTTTGCTCAAGGGCCAGGAATTCTGGGAACTGAAGTCCAAAAATACCCAAGGACCGAAGCTTGCGTGGTCTCCTTTAATTGCCATGGCAACGCCTCTAGAATTCTGGGGTTTGTAGTCGAGTGGCTCTTCCGCTGCCCCCCCCCCCCCCCCCCCGCAGGCCTCTCCTGAAACTGCAAACCCCAGGGTTCCATGGGACGTCAAAGTGACGTCACCGCGTAGTATTGGTTGGAGGGGAGCCTCTCCTTCCGGAGGTGGGCGAAGGCAGCGCTCTCTCGGCACCTTGGAGAAAATTCATCGCGCCTCGCCTCCTCGCCTCCCCAGTTTCCTTCTCGCGAGCTTCCGCCAAGCCTCGCGAGAGCTCCTGTTCGCCATCTTAGTTGTTCTGGTGCGGCGGCGGCGGCGGCGGCAGCTGCGCGAAGGAGCGAGTGCGGGCGGGCTTTGCGGGAGGCGTTCCCGCAGCATTCCTTGCAGGGCAGGGGCCCCTCTCTCCCCCTCTCCTCCGCTCTCCTCCCCCCCGGCTCCCCGCCCTCGCCTGGCCCGCTCTCTTTCCGGAGGAGTGTGGTGCCCGCGCCCGCCGGGGGTCCCGCCCCTTTCTTGGCTCGGGCCCCGGGCCCTCCTCGCTGCCAGTGCTGGATGGTGGCGAAAATGATCATAGAAAACTTCGAGGCGCTCAAGTCCTGGCTCAGCAAAACCTTAGAGCCCATGTGAGTCGAGGCTGAGGCTGAGGGAGGGGGAAAGTGTGGATGGGGACACGGGGCCTGGGCTCCCAGGGCCCTTCCACACAGCCATCTGACCCAGAATATCAAGCCGAATCATCCACAATACCTGCTTGGAACTGAGTCCACACTGCCATATAATCCGGTTCAGTGACGATTTTATACAGCTGTGTAGAAGGGCCTCAGATTGGCCCATAAAGACCATCGTTCGGGGACAGAGGAGCCCCCAGTGACACAGTGGGTTAAACCACTGAGCTGCTGAACTTGCTTACCGAAAGGTCACAGGTTCGAATACAGGGGAGCGGCGTGAGCTCCCACTGTTAGCCCCAGCTTTGCCAACCTAGCAGTTCAAAAACATGCAAATGTGAGTAGATCAATAGGTACCGCTATGGCAGGAAGGTAAAGGCACTCCATGCAGTCATGCTGGCCACATGACCTTGGAGGCGTCTACGGACAATGCTGGCTCTTTGGCTTAGAAATGGAGATGAGCACCAACCCCCAGTCCGACACAACTGGACTTAATGTCAGAGGAAAACCTTTACCTTGGGCACAGATCTAGGTTTGTATGCAGGAAAGCCTCCTTGGCTGCAGGTTGTGCACACCTGATTTGGAGCTCAATAGCCTCCAAAGTTGTGACATCTTGACTTTAGGACAAGACAGTTGTTCTCAGCCTGTGGGCCCCCAGGTGTTTTGGCCTACAATTCCCAAAAATCCCAGCTAGTTTACCAGCTGTTAGGATTTCTGGGAGTTGGAGACCAAAACATCTGGGCACCCACAGGTTAAGAACCATTGGTCTGAGAAGTCAAGCTCTTTCCAAACTGTCAACACATAGAATCATCAACACACAACATGGAAATAGCCCAGTGGTTACATTAGTTCGGTTGCATCTGTCACAAAGGTTGTTGGTGTATTTAAGGAATGATGCTTTTGCATCTCTTCACAGAGGCCTAGTATGCAAACAGAAGTTTGTAATTTTATATCATTACCAGTACTTGGTGAACTCTGAAAATGTGGCACAGAACATAGGAAGCTGGTTTGTGAGTAAGTTGAACCATTGATCTATCTATCCCAATATTTTTACCCCAGAGCAGAGCAGTGTATGGGTGTGGGCCCTTCCTCACAGCCCCATATCTTAGAATATCAAGGCAGAAAATCACTTATCTGAGTGTGGACTCAGATAATCCAGTTCAAAGCAGATGTTGTGGGATTTTTTACCTTGATATTCCGGGATATAGGGCTGTGTGGAAGGGCCCTGTGTCACATGAAGGTAATGAGAAACTTCTGAGACCCCTTCCACACAGCTAAATAAAATCCCACATTATCTGTTTTGAACTGGAATATATGGCAGTGTGGACTCAGATAACCCTGTTCAAAGCAGATATTGTGGTATTTCTGCCTTGATATTCTAGGTTATATGACTGTGTGGAAGGGCCTTGAGTCAATCTGAAATAAGCAATAATTGTAAGTAATATATAGTATTTAAAAATATAAATGAAAGGTTTTCATGAGATATGTTGTCTCTCCATGTATTTTTTTTGTTACAATATATGTATGTGTCCATATCTATTATAACATCTCTTCCAGTAAGATGACCCAGGGCCCTTTCATACAGCCATATAACCTAGGACCCTTCCACATCCCCATATCCCAGAATATCTACTTTGAACAGGGTTATCTGAGTCCACACTGCCATATATTCCAGTTCAAAGCAGAAGAGGCAGGCAAGAAATAAAACTGTTGTTATTATTCTTTGGTTTGCTAGTAAAGCTGAATTACTGTGTCGCAAAATGATGCATGACTAAAACTGTATCACCAATGTGAAATGTTTGGAAAGCTCTAGTATAAGGTGTACATGAAACACCTATGAGTTAAAATTTGGCTTCCATCTCCATGATTTCTCATTATGTTTGAAAGAATGTATTTTATTATTACAATCATAGACCAGAAGTGTAAAATTTTAAAACATTAGAAACAGAGCTTTTTAAAAAACGTTATTACTAAGTCCAGTAATGCTCAACATTAAAAGCAGTCAATGTGTATGTATATGATATGCAGTTAATCCTAAGTCTAGGCTAAAAAGTCCAAAACATATCTAGTCCTAAGGGTTTGGGGTGAGTGATACTCAAACTGTAAAAACAAGAGTCTGTGTGTGAACTCCATTCTGATGTTGAAAATATTAACCCCTCCTGCTTTTATCCTGCAAGCTCATACGTGTAACAAGGAGATGGGATGGCAGCCTGACTTGTAATTCTGACGTCCTTCTTCCTGACAACTTTTTCACTATTTTGAGGGGGAGTCTTTGTAGAGGCATTCAATTATGCAAGCCCTCATTTGCGATGCCATCCAAATACAATGAGAACTAGACTTTACTGATCCAAACATTTTAGGATTTTTTAATTTGTAGCCTGCCACTTTTCCAGATCTGGGACCTGGGCATGCTTGGTTTAAAACATAATTGATGTTAGGAGTTGTAGTTCAAGACAAGAAGAGCTATAGGTTGTGGAAGGAAAGTCTTGATTGAAAAAAAGAAAAGAAAAAAAGAAGAAAGTCTTGATTGAAGGTATTACTCTTGAGCTGAATCTGTTACACATAGGAGTGTGTAATTTGATCTTTACATGTCTGTGTTTTTTATTATTTAAGTTTGCTTTACAATTTTTTTCTCATACCCATAGATTGAACACTGTGATTGAGTGCTGTGTAAGGACCCTTTTTCTGTATAAAGAAACTCAGCTGAGAACCGAATATTTGGAGGTGTAGGGTAAACTGTAGGGGTGATGCAGATATTTTATCTGGATTGGGATCTTGATTCCTTGTTAACAGCTTGTTTAACTTTTGTTGTATTTTGGGTTTATGCTGTATGTGTTTGTGTTAAATGTGTTTGTCAAGTGTTTTGATAATGGCCAATGGGCTAATCAATAAAATGTACTACTACTACTCCTGTGTTTTCAATTGAGGGTGAAACTTTTAATATTGTAAAAAAAGAAGTGCACAGCCAGCAGAAAACAAACAAACATAAAAGAATTCAGGTATGGAAAGGAGAATTTAATAAGATGTCCAAGTCAGTGATGTTTTGATAACTTGCTCTGTTACCATATTGATGACTTGAGTGAAAATTTAGATTTTACTAGTCTCCACGTATTTTACTGTATTGGGGCAGCTGTTACTTAACTATATTGTTCAGAGCTTTCATTTTGTTTTAATCTGGCATAACCAGAGAATCTCTAATTTAATTAAAATACATTTTAAATGGCAGATTTTTTGTCACTTGGTTTATGAAAAAAGATATTTTATGAATATTAATGGTCTAATAAGGCAGATACTGTAATGAAGTCTGACAGTTCAGTTTCTTCTGAGTTGGACTTCATGAGATCTTAAGGGAGCTACTGTTGCTTTGAGATTATTATAGTGGGCATTTGTTAGGCAAATAAAGTGTAGGAGTTGTAATATGCGGCATAATATGTTACTTATATGGAAATAGTGTTGGGCTGAAGAGCTGTGTGGAAGAAAAACTTCAGGAAGTGCCATGGCAGAAAACTGAATACAAGGTTGCGCTTTGGATTTCAGTTATATTTTATGAACATTAAAGTAGACATATATTTTCTGTATTTTAAACATCAGAGGCTTAATCAGTATAAAATATAACTGAAATCTGGGAGACATCCTAGTTTCCTATTTCTGAATCATGGAATGAGAAAAAGAGTGCAGTTACTACAGGAGCCCCCAATGGTTCAGTGGGTTAAACCACTGAGCTGCTGAATTTGCTAACTGAAAGGCCGCAGATTCGAATCCGGGGAGTGATGTGAGCTCCCACTGTTAGCCCCAGCTTATGCCAACCTAGCAGTTCAAAAATATGCAAATGTGAGTAGATCAGAAGGCGGGAAGATAACGGTGCTCCATTCAGTCATATTGGTTACATGAGCTTGGAGGTATCTATGGACAACACTGGCTCTTGGGCTTAGAAATGGACATGAGCACCACAGCCCAGAGCCGGATGCGACTGGACTTAACGTCAGGGGAAAATCTGTACCTTTACCTCTACTACAATCATCCTTGTGATTCTTGTTTCAAAGGCAAGATAGTGTAGGGATCTTTGATGACAAAGTTGTAACACAAATTTACTAGAAGTAATTACTAATTGTCCAGAGGCAGCAGAAACTGTAGATGCAAGCAATTCTTAGCATAGGAATTGTCAAAGGAATTGTGTAGTTTTTAAAAGATAACTTTAAATAGTGGTTCAATATTGAAAATATTGTGTACATTTGGGACCTATTATGTGTGCCAGTTAGGAGGCCCAGTGGTACAATGAGTTAAACTCACCAAAAGGTCTGCAGATCAAATCCGGGGAACGGGGTGAGCTTCCATCTGTCAGCTCCAGCTTCTCATGCGGGGACATGAGAGAAGCTTTCCAGAGGATAGTAAAACATCCGGGCGTCCCCTAGGCAATGTCATTGCAGGCAGCCAATTTTCTCACACCAGAAGTGACTTGCAATTTCTCAAGTCGCTCCTGACATGAGAAAAAAAAAAGTGTGCCTGTGCTCTCAGATGTAAATGATGCCACTGTATTACTGATATGGAAAGATATATTGATGAAAATAGGGTTATCTGGAGATCCCAGGTGAGAAATATATGCTTTGATTCATTACATGTTGACATCCCTTATCCAGAATTCCTGAATCCAAACTACTGTTCACATGGGCAACAGATATACAGATACCTTTGCTTTCTGATACTTCAGTGTATAAAAAAATGTTTTATGCATACAATTATTAAAAAATAATTAAATTATGTTCAGGCAATGTATATGAGGTCTCCATGAGCTATAAATGAATTTTGTTATTAGACTTGGGTCCCATGTCCAACATATCTCATTATGTACGTACATGCAAAGAAAGATATTTCAAAATCCAAAAAATGAAAAGAAATCAACAATCCTAATTTTGGATAAAGGGAAACTCATCCTATATTGCAATTCAGTATTAAAAAGCAAG